TTATAGACGATTTTGTCATTTTTATAGACGAAATTGTATTTAACCATAAATAAATTTAGTCAAGAGAAAAAAAAATAGAAACATTTATTGCATTCGAAATGTCATTTCAAATGAAAAACCATACCACACGATGACATACAGATATAAAGCATTTAGAAAAAAACTGAAATTGTCGCAATGCCATTGCTCGTACATTGCATAAAATTACAACTTTAACCGAAGTTCTGCATGTTTTTAGATGAGTCAATGCACTTTAAAAGTCATGTGAACTACAATCATACGGATGTCATATGCATTTCCCACACACCATCACCGATTATGGTTTACTGCAATTGCATTGATGGTATACAAGTGTAATTTCAACTTAAACCCATACAATTGAAATGCAATTTTCGTGAAAGGGGTTCTCTGACATATATATTACTCTATCGATTCCATTCTGAATAAGTAATGTACCAATAAATTCGTACCACTAATTTAAATATTCATATATTTTTATCGTTTTTGTTTTCTCTCGCACGAACGAATTGCGGAAAAAAAAGAAGAAATTCATTTTGGATGTACAGTTTTTTTATGCTGTTTTTGTAGTATGTGTAAAGCATAATGCGATTGTTAGTACACGATACTGACAACTGTAAGTGTATAAAAAAAAGTCAAACAAGAATAACTTTTATTTATCGCTTGTTGAGTCCTTGTTTGTCGGTTTTTTGTTTAATGAACCGATGGCATCGCAAATTGTTTCTAATTGTATTTTTTACGTCAATTTGAATTGAGCTATTTTTACGATTTCAACAGTTGTAGTCAAAATATTCAAGCTATGTTGAGGGAATTACGTGACTTAAAAAAAGTCACCATTCTACCTGCTTTAAGAACGGAAAGAGCAATATTGAAGTCAGCCTTTGGAATCGAATGTATGGAATACGAAATATATGCTGAAGAATGTATAAAATTGACATTTCTTAAAAAAGCTTCAAAATAGTCAACCCTATATATTACTTATCTTCTGTATTTTTTCTCGTTCTACTCCATTCCTGCTCGAGATGATTTCATATAAATGTTCAACAACAAATATTCAGGTAATATTATAGAATATATCGAATGGATCATCATAGAAAACAAGTCAGAAACTCCAAACTGTTTCTGTTTGGCAAGCTGTTGTGAGCTAAATTGAATTTAATGGCTAATTATTATTTGGAATGGAGACAAGTAATCAAAACGTTGTTTCAGGAAGTAACAAACACACTTATAAGGTCTAAAACTAAATTGTACCAAAAATTTAACAAATTCAAATATCAATTCGCTTTTCTGATGGAAGAGTTGTTATTTTATTTGGATTCGGTGATGCCTGTTTCCACCATCACCTTGTGCATAATGTTGATGTAGTCAATCAATTAAAAAAATGTGGGAGAAAAAACACAGATACATTCGTACAGTATGACAAAATTCAAAACGAAATACCCGTTAAATAATAATCATTTCACATGAGATATTTATGCATATTCACATTGAATATTAGTATGTTAATTTTAGCTATATATGTTACATTTTTGCAAGATAAATCACAGATCCAAAAAGAGAAGAAAAAGAAAATATTACCCAAAAATGATATAAACAGTGGCAAAGTTCGTTTGTAGATTTTATTCCCCTGATTCCAATAAATCATTAACACGATTGCGTCGATAATAAGAAAAAAGAACCGCTTTACTCTCCCCAAACTAACAAGCCAGAGAGAAGGATGGATTGAAAAGTAATTTTAATCAAAAGCCAAACACCTGACATAAAAACTAACCTGTCGTAATCTAAACTGTGAAAAATACACTTTGAATGACATATGAACTGTAATCATACGGATGTCATATTCATTTCCACAGTATCGCTGATTATGCTTTACTGCAATTTCGTTGATGGTATGCACAGTGCACGCTGCACACACGACATGGAAAAAGAAGGTAACAGTTTTGAATGAATTACGATTTTAACTTACCCATACAATTGGAATGTAATTCTCATGAAAGGATTTTCCAAGTACTGACACTACTCTCTCGATCCCATTCTCAATAAGTAATGTACAAGCAAATTAGTAATTTAAATATCCATATATTTTAATTATTATTTTTTCTCTCTCACACACGAACGAATTGAAAAAAAAGAAGAAATTCAATTTGAATGTACTTTGTATGTTGTTGTTTTGTGTGTTAAGCATAATGTATGTATTAGTATACGACGCCGACAGTGCAATTGAACTGGGGAAAAAAATCGGGTGAGCTAATTTTTATTTATCGTTTGATGAGTCCTTGTTTGCCGGTTTTTTATCTTTGTTCAATGAACCGACGGCATCGCGAATTGTTTCTGATTGTGGATCGACACCGGGCAAATTTTCTAAGACGCTTTGCAAAAATTCTGGATCGCTAATCACCTCATCAACCTCCATTGGCTGTTCTTCTTGCTTTGGACGCTTGGCTTGTTGCGTTGGAACCTCTTCAGCTGCAAGGAAAGCCGAGTATTGAATTTGTTATTCGTCAATCATGCAAAGAACGTTCAACAACTGACAATACTTACCATGATCTTGCATTGACATTTGCATTGCAAATGCGATTTGCTCTTCTTCGGTCATATTAGCAAAGTCAGGCAGACCTTCATCGGCATCCTACAGTTGAAACCATAACAAAGAAATATTAACACACAGTTATGGTGCATTTCTTGACAAAATGCAAATTATTAGGCACTAGACAATGTTAGTGAAAAACTAAGAGAAACCATTTTATGTTAGAACATAAAGACATTTTTCGAAAAGAAAGCAAAACATTGTACGAACACGAGATCTTTTTACCGGAGTCTCAGTTGATAGAGCCAGGGCACGTTGTAACATTGCCTCTTCCGAATTTGGTTCCACCGAAGGCGATGCTGTAGTGCCAGCAGCTGACGACACTGCAGCGGCAGCAGCAGTTGGATCTGATTCGGCCAATGCTCTTCGTTGTTCATCTTCCTGGCGCTGACGTTGTTCTTCCATCGAAACACGCAATGCCTAGATATCAAAATTTTCATTAGTGCATGAGATTCTTCGTGTCTTTTATCCACAAAATCGGCCTGAAAATCTATTTACCAATGCCAATTCTGGATCTTCATTTGGATCAAAACCGAATTCAAAACCAGCGCCACTCAAATTGGCAGCACCTTGACCATCTTCGCCTTGAATGATTGGCGACGAAATTAATGCTTCCGACAATACCGAACCGCGTGGCACACTGATCAAGTGAGAGCCGGTGCCATCTTTGCCATTCAACGTATTAACAAATGCGGTCAGCAAATCATTGTTGCCAGAATGATCACCAAAACTGACAATGTCCACATTCACTTTTTCCTTTTTCAGCTTCTTTGCCAATTTCACGAGATCACCTTCATCAGTCGAAATGGGTGAGCCAACAAACACAACGATACGCATCTTATGATTCTTGCCTTGTCGATGCTTGAGCACTAACTGTTTGGTTTTCAATGCATGAAACAAGAGAAATGTCAACATAAAAACCAAGCATCTCATCAAAGAGACTGTGCCAAATCTACTTACGTGTGCAATGCGAACTCCAGTTATCAAATTAATGTCTCCTTTTGGTTGCACTAAGTGCATCTTTGACAGAATTCGGCCAACATCACTGGTGAGCGTTGCCAATACTTCGACCGTACTACGGAGAGAGAGAGAAGAGAGAGAGAAGAGAGAAGAGAAAATTGATTAAACATCGAATATCCAACTGAAATGTGTGTCCGCGTAGTATTTACTTTGCATATGTTAAGAGGCCGACATTATTTTCTGGGTTCGATCGAATTTTGGTCATTCCAATCAAATTGATGCCATCCTTCTGCACATTCAATCGAGTTGGAAAGTAATCACCATTTCGCTGATAATCACTGTTATCGAAGCTTCAATTTAAAAGAAGAAACAAATTAACATTGAATCAGAACGATTGCATTAGATTAATATGGAAAGAATATCTCAATATTTTATGGAATTTCTTTGTTTTGATGGAATGAAGACTACCCATTTATGCTGAATCATTAGCTTCAAAACACAAAAACTCATAACCTAACATTCAAACAAAAGCCCATTTTCTACTTTTTCCTGCACAATTTGTCTCAGAAAAATGATTGAATTCCTTACCAGATCATAGTACTCTCCAGCACCATTTTTGATCGATTTTAGTTTGTTAAACAATTTACCGAAATTTATAAGTGAAATGAAATCCTTTGATTTTCTTTTATTGTATTGTATTGTATGTGTTGCTGCTTTGTCACTGATTTTTACTGTTTCATTGCGGATGACATTTCACTGTTTGCACGACAGCAGCGCCAAAGTTTCGTGTTGAATGGAGGCGCTTTGACATATAAACAACCGTCCACAGTGGAGGTAGTGGAGGTGAGGGAGGATTGATTTTTCGAATGAAATTGGATTATTTTCGAAATTATTATTGAAGGAAATTAAAGAAAAAAGTATTTGATTTGAAAATGTAAACATTTTTTTCAGCCCAATTTCTCGATTGTGTACAAATTACAAACACAACTTCGATACAATTACACTTCGGTACAAACATACGGTATTCAGATACCAGTGGATATGCTTAAATACGGATGCAACTAGTACTTAACGTGTTTGTTAATTCACAATATACTTTCTTTTTTTTTTCATATGAATCAAGTGTCTCATTTGATATTCATTTTCTGCCAAGATTTCGTTTATTTTTATTCCAGTTCTTGGTATTTTGCTTTTGTTTATGAAATAAGAGATAAAATAAATTGTATCAAACAAACGTTTTTTTGTTTTAACAACATGTTGCGAATGGAAATGATTTCGATTTCGAATGTTGAAAATTGGCTTTAAGCGATTTTCGTGTAACCGATTCATGTTTGGCATGTTTTAGTACGAAGTAGATTTGAATTGGAGTGACTTTCAAAAGGATATTGAGTTGTCAATTTTTGTTACGACTGAGTATGCTCCGTCTCAAATCATCAACATTTAATTCGAAGCTAACATCTGTTTTCCATTCAAATTCTATTGAAGTATTTTCATTTTACTTGCCCTCAATACATCAAATTATTGTAATTTAAAGCCTTAATTTAAATACCGGCTCAAGTTTGAATTCATGATCTCGCTTATAAACACTCGAATATACATTACTGCACGTTTACTTTGGGCTTGTGTAACGTATTATGTTCGAAAACAAAGTCAAATTTAGTGACAGCCTTCGCACGCTGAACAATAGAAACCAACTGAAAAACATAACGGAGAGACTGTAAATTTAATTGAGATTGTAATTGTAATGTCTTTCATTTTGGCATTTTTTCCCGTTTGATTCTGTCCCATAATATTGTTTGGTTGGCCATCCTTTATGAGAAATGCAAACAATATACAACATAAAATCAAGCACAATACTTTGTAAGTTTACTTTTTTTCGTTAAACCAGAGAAAAATGTGTTTCCGAGAAGCGTAGGGAAATGCACAAAACTCAAAACGAGAGGTCATTTGGACAAAACGGTAAATTCATTGTTCAGCTGCATATTTCTCTTTCTCTCTCTCTCTCTCGCTCTCTCCCTCTCCCTCTCTCTCTCTCTCCCTCTCTCTCTCTCTCCGTTTTCATGGTTTTAATTATTATTTTTTTAAAACTCAATTCCTTCTGGTTATTTTTATGTTTTATGAATCCATTGTGTGTGTAGAATGTGCACAATTGAAACTTTGCGAGTCGCCACTTAATTGAAAGTTTGTTGTTGCATGAAAAAATTGCGTCCATTCGAAAATCTCACGCTCATTAAAAACTGAACGGAATTTGAACGAAATGGTTTTGTTAATTTTTAACTTTCTGTTTTTTTGCGACAAATCGCATCGCTATACGCAATGATTAGAATGACATAATCGTTTCAAAATTTGTCTAAATTAAATAAAATGGTTTTAATCAGTGCAAATGGATGAAACGACTTTATGAAACGTGAAAATATGTACATAAAACGTCTAGGTACGTAAAATGTTTGTTTTTTTCTCTGTGCTTTGCTAAATCTGACTGCAATCAAACGGCATCATGTAGCCGAGGTTTACGTGTTGAGAGCACATCACAAAATAGTTTTAAGGATGTGCTTATCTCTCGCCTGGATGATAGTTGCGCTGTAGTTGCCTTTTTAAATGTCGTTTGTTAAATGCCATAATTCTGCCAGATTCTAAACGATTTCGAGCACATTTTATACAAATGAAAAGAAAAGGGCGCAGTGAAAAAAAACCATCTGCTCGTTGTCATAATGGGAATATGAAAATGCAAACGAAATACGGAATGCATAAAATGAGGCGAGGGAATCCAAGCGATTGATATGATGAAGACAGCGGATTCTGCCAACAACGAAAATAGACGACGACGATGCATCAGCTGACATTTTAATTAGTTTCCTTGAGAAATATCAATGGCATATTCTATTTACTTACTTTGTTTCCGCCGCGTTCATCTGTTTATTACATCATAAATTTTCATTATGCCATAAATGAAAGAATATTTTCTGCAACTAAGTTTTCGTCGGATATGACATCATTTTGAATTTGCAGTGCTCATTCCAACAACTATTTGAAACGTTATCTCTACGTATTATACCTCGTACAAAGTAAAACCAGAAGCGATACGATGCGCTGTATTGCCATCAATATTTGGAATACAAAATGAACGAATTATTAGTTATTTGCGAACTATTAAAAAGTTTTTTCTGTGGCTCAGTCCCGAATGTGAGAAGAAATATCACTTAAATTTTGTCTTGCCAACATAATTACCGCAGCAGAGAAAGCCAGAACAAAAGCTAAAATTCACATTAAAAAAAAAACACAACCGACCTCAAATATCATCAAAAGAACAGTTGTGGAATGACTAATATATGGAGTCTATTTGTGATTTGGCTTGATCTGAGAGCGAAGTGTATTTGATAAGTAAATAAACTCCAAAGAGTGCACATGATTAAATACATATAAATCCCATTGATTGAAAATACTGTACGGGCAGAGCGTGAGACACTTGCGGCGAATTCGAAATGAGAATAATTTTCGGTACATAAATCGATTGCAAAACAAAATGCATCGATTGTAGATATTGCATAACCCGAAACAAACATAAAATTTATTTTACGGCCATGGAACGTTATAAATCATGGCTTTAACAGGAGCAAAACGCACCACCACCATCACCACTGGCACCATCGAGTCAGTCG